TTCAGGCTTTCCACATTTTACACTGACGACGTACAAAGCAAGCCTTCGGGTTACCTGCATGTATTTGTAAGACACTAATGGCCACACGCGCTATTATGATGTACACGACACCATGACACACCAAGGCCCTGTCTCATGGCGAAGTATCTATCTAGAGTCGAGATCCACCTGTAGTCATTCAAGTGTCACATCTTGACCTTTTGGGTAGGAACCAGCTGCGCTATAGAAGGAAATAGGAAAAACATTTCCCAGATAGCAACACGGCTGGATATGACAGTACGGGTGACTTAGGACACATAAATCAAGTCAGCATTGTGGTCGAGAAACGTATTAGAGCTGTTCAGGGGATGATCCCTTTAGTGCGATCTTCTCAACAAATTACCACATGTGCGGCGAGTCTGAATTATTCATGAAGCTTGTAAGGAGGCGTATTGAGGTAGAAGGATTTGGGAAATTGATAAATCACTACTTTGTTGGCTTGATAGTTCTAATGACACTTTCATGTTACTGATGTAAGATTTATGTCCTTGCTGTCACCCCCTGCGTGTCAATGTATATTGTGACAGGGGGTCGGGAGCTTGCTAGGGTGGGGGTCAGATTCCGATCTGGCAACCCTCTGCTACCGTCATCTGTTTGGCAGTGCGTCCTTAGTATACACAGTCTCCTACTGTTTGATCCCCGAGGGCTACCGAAGTAGCCAAACTACCCATACCTGCACAAGGAACTGGCTAAAATGAGGATCGGTTGATTAAAATATCTGGCCACGACGACACGGGTCGTACTCATGCTGACAACCACTTGGTTGTCTGGCCGAGACATAGCTGCAGTATTGCTTTTGGGTAAAACGCGCATACACTCAACTACTTACGGACTTTGATCTTCTATTGTACTAAAACGACTGTAGTTGTTCATTATTGATTCGTGAACGTCTTCGTTCATAGTAAGCACAATCATGGTCTTCAACATCCTTTTATAAGGTTTAAGCATCAACATCAACAGTTGTGTCACTCTTCATTGGTGCCCTTTGATCTGGGCAAGCACATCCGTTTGTACCTATACACTGAATGCTGTGGTCGCATATATTCGCCACGATTGCACCTAGAAAGCATGAGATGTAGATAAAAACCTATTGTGCTTAATTACATTTTGAGGCTTATATCCTTGGTGGAGTCTGAACCACCTGTGTTCCAATAATATGTAAATGAAGTTGTACCCCCTCTGGCCTCATTGTCAAACATGGGTTGGTCGGCCCCTGATGTTCAAGTCGTGATATTGTTCACCGTTTATCTCACTCACGACCCTTTGTTGTGCCCCGGATACCTGTGTTTCTAAGCCATAAAACTTCCTCTTGACTTTTGTTGGTGCTGTTAGGTTAATCGTAAGTTTTTGTCCTAGGAAGCAATGTTTCCTCGATGAGGTAGATATAACGTATTTTACGTTCTTTCCATCTTTGGGAGGCATGAGTGGCAATACAACTCGCTGTGCAGAGTTGTGTTCCTCAGCCGTGCCAGGATCCGCTAATCATGGGCTCGAATCCAAGACGCGACGCGATTAATATCTTTGGTTTATCATCACTGTACTACAACCCGTGCAAGAGTTATCGTCCCACTTGATGCTGCTACGACATAAGCTCACCTGGACACCACAAACTGGGGCTTGTAGACCAAGGACTTTAAACCTTCAAGATCTCACGTGTCTAAATTTAGACGGAGCATAATTCTGAACATTCTGATCTACTTGGCCTTTGCGCGAAATCCTTGAGAACGATGGGGGAGGGACATCTTCGATTACCCAGGGTGTTATGCTCACCATTCTGTACTCAACATACCTACGTTTCGGAAGTGACGTTCCCGACGCCATCTCTAACTAAGCACAGAATTTCTTTCTTCATGAAACTATATTGGTTTAAAGCTATTTTTAAGTCCTACCATTCGAATCGGGCTGAAACCGAAGCAATGTTAGCGAAGGGGTCAAGGGATTATATCATAACAGAATGGATAAAAAATACACTGAAGAATTGAGGTTGGGGCGGGGAAATTGAAGCAGTTCCAGGAACTTCGAGTTATAAATACCCCGCAAGTCCTTATCACGAACACGTGATTCACACAACTGTTAATGATAAATTGAAATAAGCGCAGTCAACGATAAAATCATGTTTATTTAGAATATAGAAACGGAGAATATTTGTTTTTGATATTTTTGTGTCCAAGATAATTATGTTAAGTAACACCTGCAGATCATCTCTGACTTAGATGTACAAATATATAAAAGAAAATGCATTGTCGAATATCACGTAGAAGTGTGGAATTCCCCTGTTGGGTGTACGATAAAAAAGTGGTAATTGAGACATATCCTCGTGAGTATTCCTTAGAATAATACGCCCCAAGTACCGCGCGCATGTGGTTAAGCGTGTGTAAATACGACATTAGTGAACAGCTCATACATTCGCGTGGTAATACAGCAGGTCGAATCTGATAGTATAGATAGTAACAGACCACGTTTCAAGTGCGAGTTCATGAATACACATTTTAGGTCGTATAGATGGGCACGATAATATGAAATGATTCGTTAACCGTCCACCACTGACTCGAGGGGCGGTCGGGTCGCCTAGTGGTTAAAGCGTTCGCTCCTTACGTGGAAGACCCGCGTTCGATTCCCGACATGAGTAAATGTTTAAAGGAGCCGTGAAGATCTGGGTTGGAATAGGTCTTCATGCTTTCCGTAAAAGGCGACTTTGCTTGCAACTGTGGCTAGTCAGACTCGATGACTTGTCTGATGCATGTTATCGTATCCCAATTGCGTAGATCGATGCTCATGATATCACTCACTTGTTGTCTGGTCCAGACTCGATTTTTGAGAGACCTCCGTCATATAGCTGGTATATTGCTTAGTGCGGCGTTAAACAACAAACAAACAAACAAATCAAACAAATAATGGCTGAAGCCATTTCCCGGTGTCTGCTGTGATATTCCATAAATTTGGTGTTAAGTTTTACGCGGCTTTTATAAAAAAATCCAACCATATCACGGCGTGGGAAACAAAGAATGGACTTCACACATTGTACCAAAGTGGAACTCGGACTTTCCTGACGAGCCAGCGCTTTAACCACTGGGCCACCCCGCCGCGCAATTATACACATGTACTTGCCATGTTTTACCATTCTTGTAACCGTCTTTCACTTTAATCACCCAGGACTTTTCTCCTGATAGACAACTGCCCTTACATAACTAACGTATTGGTATTCACGATGAAACCCAACTCACTCGATTAAACATTTATGTGTTGTCATGAGACACCAAGAAGTATCGAGGGATCTCATTTATTCAAGCTTTACAGAATACGTGTCGTATTGAGTGGTTTATACATATGCACGTTCTCTCGCATATAATTTCATCATTTACATTCAGTATTCCAAAAACTGCACAGGTGGATTACAATTACAAAGAAATTCCTGTCAGGTCCAAAACAACACCTTTGTCCTAGACCCTGTAGCATATCAGATAACATGTAAATTGGAAGGCATAATACACGTTTTAAATTTGAATTCTTTGTAAAACCGGGTTGGGTATCATTGCTTATCTGGATAGAATATATCCTTAATCCCATACTGAATGAATTGAGTGGATGAGTTAGGCTTAACGCCGTCTTTAACAGTATTCCAGTGAAAGGAGGAAGGTCCGTAGTGATCTATGTATTAGACGTTTACCACTTCGGTGAAACCAACGAGCAAACTGTCAAACCTAGAAACATAATCGGGGCGAACGGGGATTCGAACCCACGTAATGTTTCTGGCGTGCCCAAGGGATGCAACCCTGCACAGCGAATTGAGGCGCCTAAGACGACTGGGTCATCGGCGTTTCCCGACTGGAAACAACTTATAATAACCATGTTACAAACTTTTAATTTAAAAGCTGTTGAATTGAGGATGGGCCGTATTATTATCTTGTTGAAAAATCTGGAGAAGACTTAACATGACAAAGTGTTATTTTGTTGGATAAACTTTCTTTCGCCCACTCTTTATGTGGTTTCCAAAACCATTTGAGTGAATGAGTTTGTTTTTTTTGTTTTTTGAACAGTATCTCGTATATATCACTTCATGTAAGGTTAATAAGCTCGTCCTTGACGTTCACAATTTTAAACTAACCCACGAACGTTGCTATGGGGCTTAACCAAAGACACAGTGTGGTTCTGGGTTAGACTAAAGCCCCCGTTACACTATCAAAATCTTTGATAAAAAACTTGGTCAAAGAAAACTTTGACCCAAGTTTTCTTGGACCAAGTTGGACTGTTTACACTCATCAAAGTTTTTGACAGGCCGTCAAAGTTTTTGGCAGGAATTATCTTGCCAAGATGGATGCTACTGACGAAGAATGTTTTGTTGTTGTCATATGTATTTTGTGTATTGCCATGTTGAAAAGACAGAGTCGGGGTAGACAAAGGTAGACATATTTGGTCACGAGAATGGCTGCTCGTTGTTGAACCAAATCAATTAATTCTTCCAACATCTCGTCAGCCCAAGTTTGTTGGCTCATTTTGACTTGACTCGATGCACTTCTGGTTGAAAAGGGGTAAATGTTCCTTGCATTCTGATTGGCTATATTAAATCAACGTCATCAAACTTTGATCCAAGTTTGACCAGAAATAGGATCGTCAAAGTCCGTCAAAAACTTTGTCAAAGTTTTTTAACAGCATGTTACACTATCAAAAACTTGGTCAAAATGGACATAAAAAATGACCAACTTTTTTATCAAAGTTTTTGATAGTGTCATGGGGGCTTAAGTCCCTATAGCTTGTCTTAAGAGGAGATTAAATCTCGGTCGCCTGCATGTCACGGTAACCCTACGGCAAGGGATGTTGTTCATATCAACCACCTTTTCTCTGGCTCTAACGTTTTCCTTCCACAACCCCACCTTGTATAATATTTGAAATGAATAGGTTCTGATGCACTGCAGGATTGGATATTATGATTGTCCTTTTAATGAGTTCTGTGCACTTTTCAGGTAGTATACCCCTTGACTGGATGTTGGCCGTCAGCAAGAGGGTCAAGCAGTTGAAGGAAAACCAGGATTCATTCACCATTCATTACGTTTCCAAAACCGGAAGTTGTACCCTTAACGCCAAGAAGGTCAAGTTCAAGGGCGATGAAAAGACCTGCTCGGTTATCAGAGAAAAATTGAGAGATTTTGTCAATAGTAAGTAATACGCTTTATTATGTACAATTTATGGGTTTTTTCAGTCATGCATTTGCCATTTTTATCAAGTTGTTTCCTGAATTGCTTCTGATCATAATAGACCTCGTATCGTTTGTCGACCATAACTGAGATTGGGAGTATTGGTTGGGTAACCACCAAGATTTCCAACTATCTAATCTGACCTGACCAGACTGTCACAACGTATACAGATGACGTATCGATTCTCCCAGGCCGTCGTGGAAAACCTCTTTCATTTGAGACATGTCTGTAAGAGACATCTTGTAACCAGCCAACCATTATATCTAACCGGCTTGTTTGATTGACCACAACACGTAACAACACAGCACTAACATTATGTCTAAAAAAGAAGTCAGCAGTTTACACATCAGTAATATAATACCCTATAAAACCAATATGTTTCCCATAAACTTTATCAGATCTATTCAAATACGAACAGAACAAGACATGCATTGTTCCAGACTAGGAAGTTTAAATTCAAATTAAAGATAGTTTTATTAACTTAAGTCGTTACAATGCGTCATTTCATGTGTGAACGTAATACCCCCCTCCCCCTACCCCCCCCCCCCCCCACACACACATGTACCCCCTTCGCTTTCACCCTTCACGACGTTGCATAAGTATCGCTACTTTAAGCGGAATGCAAGAAAGGTGTCATATTGTCTACTCTCCCTTTGAAGTCGATTTATTCTATGTTTTCAGTTTCAATACAACACCACGTTCCTGTTTTACAAAGTGGTTAAGTCAGAGGGTACCTTTTTGTCGTCCTTAACCTGTGTCCCCATACCCCGATCTACTTCAAATCATAATTATCCATATATGACGAGTCACGTGACAGCATTCTGGTACCCCCGCAGAGATGAGTGTGGTGAAATCTACAACCCATCACGAATAATCAGACGAACTGTTGCATCTTCAAAGATATGACGTTTAATGCAAATTAAACCCATCCATGCAGATAATCAACGGTGTCCACATTTCCATTATCGTTTGTGTCGCACCAGCGCATCCATGATAACGATGCGGCAAAAAGACTTCATCTATATTGATCTGGCATTGTGTGTTGACGACAGCAGGGTGAGTCACTGAGCCGCAGGTGCTTGTTCATAAATTAAAATTTAAACGAGAAGGTGTTTGTCGTCAACAGTGTTATACTTCAAATGGCTTCTTTGGACTTGGGCATCGTCAACCCGTGGATTATGCTTCGAAAACGTCCCTTTGTCCGAGCAGGACTACCGTCACAAGGGGTAGAATGCTTAATGACATTTTGCAGTTTAATCATATAAAAACATCAATAGCTGCATGTCTGTGAATACAGAGAACGCGATGTTTCACTCTGAAGCATAAAACCGCTCTGTGATGCTAGTTGTAAACACCTTTGTGAACGTATTTCTAAGTGCTTGTCGTAGGAATAACGATCCTACCTTAAGTGTGTTGAGGTGACGTTGATAAACACTTCAAGAAGGGTTGTTTGGTGTATAGTTAATACGATATTGTTCGTGTATATATATAAACGCATTGCCTTGCCCCAGGAGTGGAAATTATCTCGTATTTTTAAAAATGTTTTGTGTTATGGCAACTATAAGCATTCTGTTTGAAATTATGTTGTGTTTTTAAAAGTTATACAATGCCATCGGTGTTCCACTGTGACAAGGGATATAACAAACTCACGAGCATAACGTTCGTTTTGTTATATATGGATATAACTTAGTACATATACACGCAAAAGATTAACCGACTTTACATGTTATAATTATTATAAACTCGCCGCACAATGTTTATTAACGATCTATTGTCATTTACAACAAACACGCATTCAATACATTATGTACCACGAGTCTACAGCTACGGTCTGTACATACACCTGACTTATTAGACCGAACAGTCATGCAGTTAGAATAGTTTTCATTCGCGTTTACCCCGACATGGGCACAATGTGTGAAGCCCATTTCTGGTGTCCCCCGCAGTGACTTGCTAGAATATTGCTAAAAGCGGCGTACAACCATACTAACTCACTCATTCGCGTTTAATGTATTTCAGACATAACAGTGTTACTTAATATTTAACGACGAACTCTAGTGAAGCTCAATCACAACATAAGCGCACACGTGGATTCCAGATCACAACACGGACGCGAAGGAGAATTTTAATGGCAAGCACTTGGAAACTCGCCAATTACGAACAAAGTTAATATACAAGAGACAGGGAGCGTAATATACAGCTGCACATTACGTTTGTTTACATTTTGGAACGCATCTTAACAACACGCACCATCCACTCTGGTAACTCATATTTTAACTGCAAGCAACAGACATTAAAACTATCATAAAAAATGCACCAGCCCGGTTTTTCACAAGCGTTTTCCTTTTGTGAGCAGGTTTAAAAAGCTGCACCGGGTAAACTCGCCTACTTGGTTACTCATCAAACATATTGCTCAGTTTAAGGAAATCAGTAGTTCCATTGTGCCCAGAAAACATCATTTCGACTCCATTATTGCCCGTCTTCTCGTCCATAAAGCCCTGCCACTGTCCATTGAGCGCCGTGATGAACAACCTACAAATGTGTTCCTGCATACACCGATAGTGTTGCATGAACCGCTTGGGTGGATTCTAATGAAATGTGGTATGAAAGGTTGTATAAAGGTGCTTTAGTTATTTCATAACTCTATTAAGGGAGCAGTTCAACAGTTCCGTGACGGAAAAAAGAGTTTACGTTTTGGAAATAAATAAATAATATTTATTAAAGATAAACTAAACAAAATAATGATATTTAAGAGAGTGTACGTTTTGTAGCCCAATACACAACACACAATCACCCCCACCCCACCCCCACCTCCACCCCCAAACGTGCAGATCTGTTATCCCCCACCCCCAAACGTGCAGAACTGTTATCCCCCACCCCAAGCCCCCACCCCAAGCCCCCAACTTAAGAAATTAGAATAATTATTGTAATCCGACACCAAACTTTTGAACTGCCCCCTGAGTCAATGATCATTACAGCACGCGTTTGTTGCTCTTACGTGTTATTAAACCCACTGAACCCCACTTTATGATGACAATAAACTTGTTAAGCATGGTGAGTAGTTAATCAGTGTGGAGAATAGGGACAATTTTTTTCCTGAATTTGTCACGGAGACAGAATCGGTTTGCTGAATGGGACCAGATAACAAGGTGGCTACTTTAAAATACACACAAAATACAACTCTGCAACGTACTTCAATACTTCTTAATAACACTGAACCGTAAGTGTACTCTGTCCTGCACTGTGTCACACCAAGTTACACGTACTGACTTCAGGGAAACCTCCACAATCCGGACTGACGTAACGCGCAGTAGCGAGTGTACAGTTATATATTACAAGTGTAGTTGGATAGAGTAATGAGATATGACTACGAGGTCCAGAGTGACGAGGTATATAATAACGAGATCCAGGGTGACGAGGTATAAAGTGCCGAGATTCAGAGCGTTTTACTCTGCTCTTAGCAATATTCTAGCAATATCGCTGCAGCTGAAAACCGGAATTCGGATACATATTGTACCATGTGGAGAATCGAGCCCGGGTCATCATCTTGACCCCACCACCCCTAAATATGAGGTCCAGAGTGACGAGGTATATAGTTATGAAGCGCAGAGTGACAACGTGGATAGCTACATTTTCTAGTGTGACCAGGTATGTATCTACGAGGTCCATAGTGACAACGTATATAGTAACGAGGTCCAGAGTGACGACGTACATAGTAACGAGGTCCAGAGTGACAACGTATATAGTAACGAGGTCCAGAGTGACAACGTATATAGTAACGAGGTCCAGAGTGACAACGTATATAGTTATGAGGTCCAGAGTGACAACGTATATAGTTATGAGGTCCAGAGTGACAACGTATATAGTTATGAGGTCCAGAGTGACAACGTACATAGTAACGAGGTCCAGAGTGACAACGTATATAGTTATGAGGTCCAGAGTGACAACGTATATAGTTATGAGGTCCAGAGTGACGACGTACATAGTAACGAGGTCCAGAGTGACGACGTACATAGTAACGAGGTCCAGAGTGACAACGTATATAGTAACGAGGTCCAGAGTGACAACGTATATAGTAACGAGGTCCAGAGTGACAACGTATATAGTTATGAGGTCCAGAGTGACAACGTATATAGTTATGAGGTCCAGAGTGACAACGTATATAGTAACGAGGTCCAGAGTGACAACGTATATAGTTATGAGGTCCAGAGTGACAACGTATATAGTTATGAGGTTCAGACTGACGACTTATAAACGCCCAGAGCGACGAGATATATAGCTACGGATCCAGAGCGACGAGCTATATAGCTACGAGGTCCAGAATGACGAGGTATTTTCCTGCGAGGCCCAGAGCGACGAGCTACACAGCTACGGGTCCAGAGCGACGAGCTATATAGCTTCGAGCTCCAGAGTGACGACGTCCAGAGTAATGACATCTGGAATAACGGTTGTATAGATCATAGGTTTGAATCGATGATTCGCACTGATTATGTTTCTTGATCTGGCAAAACCTTGTCCTCATGGGTTTCCCCAAAGGAGCAAACGTCTAAGATCTGTATCACTTCCGCCTTCCCTTCAGCATCAAGCTGACATGCCGTGACGTCAGTGAAATACTGCCCAAAGCTGCTTTAAACCAAACTAACCATCTCTTATATTTCCAACCCGTGAAGATCAGGGGTAGAATAGGTCTTCAGCAACCCATGTTTGCCGTTAAAGGCGACTATGCTGGCCGTAAGAGGCGACTAATGGGATCGGGTGGTCAGGCCCGCTGACTTGGTTGATGCATGTCATCGCATCCCAAATGTGTGTATCGCTCCTCATGATGGATCACTGGATTGTCAGGTCCAGATTTGATTATTTACAGACCGCCGTCATATAGCTGGAATATGGCTGAGTGCGGCGTTAAACAACAAACAAACAAACACTCTTATATTTCCAGAACGCCATCCAATCCGGAAGTTCCTGGTACTCATCAACCCCGTGAGCGGCAAGAGGAACGCGAGGACCATATTCAGGCGTAACGTGGAGCCTGTTCTGACGTTGTGTGGAGTTCTTACCGAAGTTGTAGGTGAGCACTCGCGCATTCATTTTTTTAATTCAGACCAAACGTTCATGGAAAAAACCTTCACTTTCTTCAAAATGTTACCACAACGATAAACACAGACCTTCCGACTCAACTTCGTGTCCCGCAATACGGTTCCTGGGCCCACTTGCACAAAGCGATCTTAGTGCTAAGACTATTGTAAGCCAATGTTAAAGTATGGGAGTTACGATCATCTTAGCGCTAAGATCGCTTTGTGCAAGTGGGCCCTGGTACCTTAAGCAGAGGCCAGGTTCAAGCTCAGAACTGAGCTGTTCTAACATTACAAAGAGAAAAAACTCATGACGTGGTTGATAAATGGATTACGTGTACCATTGGGAGATTGGGTAAACATGCTCCTCACAGATCAAATCCATCGGTATAAAACAACTGTCACTGTGTTTTGTCGGCGGGTTATATCTCGTTATTATTCATCATGTTATGTCATGAAATATTCCTTCTTCATACAATGGATTTAATAATCACAAAGGTGTGAAGTTACAATGCAAAGTTTTGAAAGATAATGAAAGGTGGGCGGTTATGGAAATCAAGCTTTAGGTGTACTTGATTCATTAATGTATTGATACGTTGTTAATAGTTTATATTCTAATATTTATATCACTCATCCTTTGATAGGGAGATTGTCCAAATAGTGAAAGGAAGCTCAGCAACTCATGTGTACTTATGGTTAATCCAAACTGAAATAAAGGTGACCATGTTGAGTAATATATGTAACTTTTGAAACGGAGGGTTTAAATTAAATGCAGCAAATATCTTTCCTATTATCTTAGTTCGTATGTGTACATACAGTCCTCAAAACATCTAGGGTTTTTTTAAATAAAGGCTTTATGAAAAGATATTTACTGAAAGTCAAATAGCCCCGCCCATGGGATACCCCCCCCCCCCCCCCCCCCCCCCCATTGGGGCACCACACGCCCGCTGACGAGCCTCACAACTCAGGGGCCAACCGTTCCCCAAATACTCAGTGGCGCCAAACACAGGGCATATGGTTTATCACATATATTGACCCGAACGATTAAATCTCCAATTAAAACTCTGAATAACAGAGGTCGTCAACTTCTTTTATCACTCCAGTACAAACATATCACACATCATCGGTGAAATGATTGATGATATTTTTTTGAGAAAAAAAACGATATTGGGTAATTTACGTTCAGTATAAGTAAAAGGAATATCCTCATCGCATTAACGCCGTCAAAGAACCCAGAATTCCACGACGACATCTAACACCTCTTTGCCCGCCATAACGACTTCAGGTCTTTGTTTGGCATAAACAGACGCCCTTATATGGGGTAACCTTGGTCTATCCCTATCTAACCATACAAGAAACTAGCAGCACCTTTAAGTAATTAGAATTCCGACAGCATGGTATATTCACCTCGTAAATTTGAGTTTATGACTTTATTATTCAATGTTAAACATAAATTACCTTTTGCTGTCTTGCACACTGAATAATCACGGTCTTTGTGGCCATGGTTGGGCGCAAACTCCATCCGACGCCAGGTGATTCTTACAAAATGTCCACATGACAATAACTACCCTGAATATTTATGTAATAATCACTTCGAGGTGTAATTTGATAGGACATGAATGCGATTTAAATTTGCAGGATTAGCTGCAGGAACCGTAACTTGCCGCAGTATGTGAATGGGCGCCGAACAATTCTGCTGCTGTTTTATACAGCCTACTTATCGGGTAGAAAACACAACATCGTTTGTGCTACGTGTAACCCTGATGCAATAATTTTGAAACATTATTAAATTGTCAAATTTTATGTGCACCGCTGACCCTGGTATCTCACCTGCAAACATGCGTCGGGATCTGTGCGCGGATGCAGGTGAACGAAGCGTTGCGAGGTCTCATCTCTACATAGTCATTGCACCGAATTAATTTTGGATTGAGCCATTCAGATCAATGTGGTTATTGCATCGGGTGTAGGACCCACCCGTATGAACATATGCTTAAAATGACACCTAAATGGGGTCACTTTTATTTATTTTTTATTTCTGCGTTGAGAGTGTCAATGCTTACACAGCGATGAATGCGGTGCTGTTTAATGTAGATCCCGGATACCTCGATAACATTTACAAAGACGTCAACCAGTGCTTTCTTCTACTTCACGATTACAAAGGGCCCAGTAACTCATACCTCTCGAAAAGCTGAATAATAAACGTATGGATAATAAACATTATGGTTAGGCTATGTGGATTGGACTGTATCCTGGTCGATGGCTTGAGACCGCCTCCGTGGTCTAGTGGATAGAGCGCAATCCCGGAGAGCATAAGGCCGGTGGTTCGAGCCCCTGCTGCATCATACCGAATGATGTTAGACTGTGGTACTTGTGGTAACCCTGCCTGGCGCTCGGCATAAGGGTACAAAACAAGGCATGGCTGACTCGGAGGCAGCATACTGCGTCTGGGTGGGGTATTCATGTTTAACTACTGAATGGTATTTCAGTGGGCTAGCACGCGCAGCCACACGCACGCACGCACGCATGCATGCATGCACGTCGCAAGAAAATGAAATAACTTTGAACGCGACGTTAAAACCCATTCCACGTCACCTCGTATGGCGTGGATCGTTGGTCTTGCTTTCAGACACTGGTTTGCCTGGTCGTGATTCGGTTTTCACACGCCATCACGGTATAGCGGGAATATTGCTTACTGTGACGTTAAAGAACATTAACTCACTTCCACACATCGCTGTGTTCTGATTTTTACATTTTATTACAAGACCAACTTTCAGTAACATACCTCACCATTCAATGTTCAACGTGTTCGTGAGGAGCCTCGGGTACACATGACAAATAGTTAATCCTTAGAAACAAGAACGATATGTCGAGTTATCCATACTTCGAAGCAACAATGGAACACTTATTAATAATAAGTGAAATCTTTTTTAGCTAATTAAACAATTTATGGAGTTTAAGTTGACTATGTTGTATGTGTTATTATGTTTAAAGAAATGTGTGCGGTTTTTTATAGTGACGGAGAGGCCAAAACATGCTGAGGAAATATTGAAGAAGAGGGATCTTTCCGATTTTGAAGGGCAAGTTTTTATCATACGTAATCATAAGAAAGGGGAATAATTTAACTCCAGTTTAACATTCTTCAATAAGCGGCAAGATGCAAGTTTGACATAGTTTGTGTAACATAGATGGAAACGGTTGTATTCGTGTAGGTTAAACTTCAATGTCTGTCCTTGGTGTCATGGCTAGGGGGTATAAGATGTTAACGTGTGGTGTTTCAGAGTGATCGCTGTGGGTGGAGACGGATTCTACAGCGAGTGTGTGACAGGGCTTCTGGTCAGAGCTCAGTTCAGGGCCAGGATTGACCACAATGACCCGGAGTCGGTCATCACACCTGCATCTCTCCCTGTGGGCATCATACCAGCAGGTGGGTAGTAGACTGTCGGCCATCACACCTGCATCTCTACCTGTAGGCATCATACCAGCAGGTTGGTAGTAGACTGTCGTCAATCACACCTGCATCTCTACCTGTGGGCATTATACCAGCAGGTGGGTAGTAGACTGTCGTCCATCACACCTGCATTTCTACCTGTAGGCATCATACCAGCAGGTTGGTAGTAGACTGTCGTCCATCACACCTGCATCTCTCCCTGTAGACATCATACCAGCAGGTGGGTAGTAGACTGTCGGCCATCACACCTGCATCTCTACCTGTAGGCATTATACCAGCAGGTGGGTAGTAGACTGTCGGTCATCACACCTGCATCTCTACCTGTGGGCATTATACCAGCAGGTGGGTAGTAGACTGTCGGTCATCACACCTGTATCTCTACCTGTGGGCATTATACCAGCAGGTGGGTAGTAGACTGTCGGTCATCACACCTGTATCTCTACCTGTGGGCATTATACCAGCAGGTGGGTAGTAGACTGTCGTCCATCACACCTGCATCTCTCCCTGTAGACATCATACCAGCAGGTGGGTAGTAGACTGTCGGCCATCACACCTGCATCTCTACCTGTGGGCATTATACCAGCAGGTGGGTAGTAGACTGTCGTTCATCACACCTACATCTCTACCTGTTGGCATCTCGACGAGGAAAGCCCGAAGTGACGCAGGTCATAGACGCTAACCACTTTATGACGCTCGCGACGACTATATGATGATGACGACCTGCGGATCAAGGCATGGAGAAGGACATTGGGGTCCCCTGGACTGTGTTCTGACATATCACGGTTATGGTAGTTGTCAACTGTTCGTTTTTTGTTGCCAGGTTCGGGTGACTACATCGTGCAGTACCTCCACGGAACCAGGGACCCAACCACAGCAGCTGTACACATAGCTCTAGGTACTGTGAGCCTGCTTCTATCACTCACGTCACAACACACGTTAAAGTGTTATTACAAACACAATCACTCACGTCAGAAGACACTCCATCACGGGCGTCATCATACACACCATCTAACACGTCATCATACACACCATCTTACACGTCACCATACACGTCACCATACACGTCATCACACGCGTCATCATTGAACGCCATCAAACGCGTCATCACACATACCATCACACACGCTTCATCATACACGCCATCAAACGCGTCATCACACGCGTCATCAAACACACCATCACACGCGTCATCACACACACCATCACACACGACACCATATAAGTCATCACACGCGTCATTACACATACCATCACACACGCTTCATCATACACGCCATTAAACACGTCTTCACACGCGTCATCACACACACCATCACACACACCATCACACACGACACCATATAAGTCTTCACACGCGTCATCACACATACCATCACACACGCTTTATCATACACGCCATCAAACACGTCTTCACACGCGTCATCACACACAATATCACACACGACACCATATAAGTCTTCACACGCGTCATCACACACACCATCACACGCTTCATCATACACGCCATCATACACGCCAACACACACGCCAACACACACCACCACACACGCGGTATCACACACGCCATCACACGTCATCACATACGCGTTATCACACACATCATCACCTTGACATCACACACACCATCACACTGAAGCGTGTTACCACACACGTTTTGCACAAGCTATAGCACACGCCAGTATAAATATATACGTTTGTCGAATTTTTCATCCCACAACATTATGTAACACAGCATCCTTACTCTCAGATTAGACGGTGTTTCAGTGCAGATCTACTTTAGATCGGTGTCGGGGGCACGGGTGGCCCAGTCGTCTAAGGCGCCGCGATTCGCTGTGCAGAGTTGCGTCCCTTGGGCAAGCCAGAAACCTATGATTGTGGGTTCGAATCCCGGTTCGCCCCGATTATGTTGCTAGGTTTGTCAGCACCATACCCGTGCTCGTGGGTTTCACAGAAGTGGTAAACGTCAGAGACCTGCATCACTTCGGGCTTTCCTCCTATATTAAGCTGACACGCCGCGATATCAATGGAATACTGTTAAAAGCGGCGTTAAACCAAACTAACTCACTCACTCAGATCGGTGTCATTTATTAAGCATTAATTGTTAACCAAGAGTTATTCCCAGATTAAACTACAAACACACAGAAATATACCAAAAACGAAAAACAAGACAATAATCATATGTAAAAATGTTGCTTTTTCTCTATTTATAGGGAAATATCAAAATGCCAACGTTGTCAGTATTTTCAAGGGCAGACAACTGTGTTGTTATTCTGGGCTGCTGTTAGGGTTTGGTTTGATTGGGGACATCATGAATGACCTTGAAGGGTACCGGTGGATGGGGTCAGCAAGATTCAAGATTATACCCACTAGGTCTGTGATGAACAGGCGGATGTTTGACATCGAAATGGACTACTTAACTGACACGTGGCAGACGTTGAGTCACAGTGTTTATGGAATTGACACTTACGTCATAACATGGCGGCCAGAGAAATCCAAGATGGCGGCATGTTTTGGTGACAACGCGCTTTCTATGTACATCACCGGCAAATGCAAGCTATCCGACCACATGAAACAACTAAGAAAGGTCCAACTTCAAACAAAAGATTGTGTAGGTAGTATACGCTGAATAATTATGAATGTCATGATTGTAAGATATAAGTGTGTGGGTTTGTTTTCAAAGCCGTACCCAACAATATTCCACCGTCTGCCTGTAAACAATCGAGCCTGGAACAGACAATCCAGTGATTGACATTGTGAGCAACGATCCACGACGTCATCGGGGTAGGAAGGCTCACAAGCAGCCACGTCACCGAGCCTGACCACCCGATCCATTTGGTTGACTCACAACCAGCAGCGGTTGCTGGGGACCAATTCTAACCCGGAACTCCCACGGGGTTGTAAAGATTTAAATTGAAATTTCAGTAAATTTCATGTTTGGAAGTTAAAGAGAGACGACCAAGTTCTCGTGTCAGCTATTTATTATCTATTTATGAATATGTAATCCGGGCATTAATTACAAACTGAGCACATCTGACTACAGACCCTACTTAAGCATTTTATAGACTCGTTTATTTGGAAATTAGTTTTGAATATGGCCATATTTTTACGGCAAATTAAGTCAATTTCATCTTAATTTAATTTCGGTTTACTTGTTTTACGTTTTACGTTTTCCGGACACCTGCTGAAAAATAACCAGACTTGTGTTGCATTTTGTTCAAAAAAGTGTGAAAACCATTTCAACGTCCTTAAATTACTGAGGGTATCCGGAAAACGGACAGTCCCGTGAAGATCCGGGTTAGAATTTGTCTTCAGCAACCCATGTTTGGCTCGAACGTACACGTGTAGGCAAATACAGATATACAAGACTGGTTGGTTTGTTGTTTAACGCCGCACTCAGCAATATTCCAGCTATATGACGGCTGTCTGTAAATAATCGAGTCTGGACCAGACAATCAAGTGATCCATCATTAGCATCGATCCAAGCAATTGGGATCGATGACATGCATCAACCAAGTCAGCGAGCCTGACAACCTGATCCCGTTAGTCGCCTCTTACGACAAGCATGGTCTCCTAGATATGCAAGAACACAGGTTGACAGACCATGGCCGCGTACAACACACACATTGTCAAAAGAAAATCAACGAAATAGTCACGAATAAATGTGAAAAAACGAGTATTTATTTTATTGCTATCCAAAATATGACATTAAATTACATGTCCTGAGGCTATGTATATGAACTTAAGTAATCGATACCATTTTGATAATTGGATCATGTCATCATAATTTGTAAAATAATAAATTTATATAATCTTACTCACAAATTTCCAGTGGGATTATGACTTCGTGGATGAGCTCCGGGTCCAGGGATTCCGAGTTCGATTCCCAAACACTCCCCAGCGACAGACGCCGGAGGGTGAGACCACGCTGACAGACAACTACTACCTCAACTGCGACGGCGAGGTGGTCACCATCGACAGGCCGGAGTTTGAAGTCAGGTATGCAGGCATGCGCATGAAGATAGTTAACTGGTAGCAAACAACAGCTAAAATATGCCCCTGGAGAAGTCTGCATCATTCGTCTTACGACATTATACGTCAACGCCAGTAAAAAACCAGTCTCGATTATCTGCTGAAACAGATTTCTTGGGTGTAAAAGGTAAAATTGTGGTAAAAATTATATGAACGGATCGCTGAAGATGGGGTATTGCGACAAGGCGTTCGCGGGAAAGAGTAAGCATGCCATACCTATCCGGTAGCACCCCCACTTCTGTTTACAAAGTGGTACACTTATAAAGAAATAGAGAACCGTCAATCAATTAATGGTCTTTTTTGTAACTGTTCCGCATCAGGTTCAGTTGTTTTCTCTGCTTATTTACATCATATGATATGACCAAGAACCTTCGAACACCTAGACGAACATATATGTGAGGTGAGGTCAAATGGGGTTTAACGTCGCGTTCAAGGTTATTGCACTTTTTTTGCGACGTGTGTGTGTGTGTGTGTGTGTGTGTGTGTGTGTGTCTGTGTGTGTCTGTGTGTGTGTGCTCGTCCGGACAAATGCCGATTTTATCGTGCTAGCCAAACTGAGACACCAAGCTACAGTTTAACATGAATACCCCACTCAGACACAGTATGCTAACTCCGAGCCGACCAGCTTGGTTTAGCCCCTTAATGCAGAGCGCCATGAAGGGTAACAACAAGTACCATCTTTTAACGTATTTTTGTATGACGCGACCGGGGATCGAACCCACGAGTTTCCGCTCCCCGGGTGGACGCTCCAACTCTAGGTTTCAGTGGTATTCTAGACATTTCTGAAACTTCGATCCATGCCATATTACATATTTCCAATGATATGTGACAGTTCGAGATATATGAATAATATAGATGAATTGGTGCTTCACCTTTTTTCCAGGAGCATAGTTGAATTTATACGTTAATTAATAACTTGAAATGAATAAGATAACAGCGTGTATGAATATTAATCATCCACCCTTTTTTGTTATCACTGGATAGTGTGATAACCTGGTTGTTATAACGTTGGCTGGTCACACCTGAGAACCAAGTCCACTGCCCAATAGGAGTACGATATGTGAAGCCTCTTCCTGTGTCCCCCGCCGTGATATTGCTGGAATATTGCTAAAAACGGCGTAAAACCATACTCACTCACTCATTCTAGGTGCTACTGTGGTATTGATGGAATGTTGTTAAGAGCGGCGTAAAACCTGGCTCACTTTATAACGTGAGTGAGTGTGTATGGTTTTACGCCGATTTTAGCAATATTCCAGCAATATCACGGCGGGGGACACCAGAAATGAGCTTCACACATTGTACCCATGTCGGGAATCGAACCCGGCTCGACGTGACGAGCGAACGCTTTAACCACTAGGCTACCCGACCGCCGTCACTTTATAACGGCGGCGAATTGTCGATTCTGTATCAAGAAAACCAGTGGTTGATCGAATGACTGGTACAATTCTCTTATATATTTTTTCAGGTTGCACCATAACGTGGTGTCACTGTTTGGAGACAGCGCCGTGCGCGACATGAACAACAACTTTGTATGGTACAATTCTAAAGAGATTACAGCGCTTTGATGCAATAACCCAGCCAAAGGCGAAGATGGAAGATTCAACTATTGTGCCATACCCGTTCTCGAGGGTTTCACCAAAGTTTTCAACGCCTAATATAACTGAAAAACTGTTTAAAGCGGCATTAAACTCTGTTCCTGACTCAATTTTTGATACCAAGAGTATGACATCACTGAATCTCAAGGCTTCAAGGACATCATCTACTCAACCTACATAACAACAGTCATGCTGCATCTGTAAATGTGTAAAAAATTAAGTGATTCTTGTAACTGCTCCTTGAGTAGTGTTGCAGGTCAGGTGCACAATAAATCATACCAGGGTATTGGATATTTTCTCACTGAACCTACAGACATGGCCATTGTCCTTATGTCTCCCTCACCCCACCCTACCCCACCCCACCTTCACCCCACCCCACCCCACGTGCACCCAAAGGGGCGACATATTGTTTTTGACTCAGTTGGCTTTGGCCTTGAGCCTGAAAACGGCATATACATTGCTCATCCTTTTAACTGAAGCATTTGGCTATTTTTCGAAATTGTATTTTGTTACATTTCCATGAAAACAATTTCTGTTTTTGAAACAATTCTAGGTTTCGTTTCCGAGCCATAACTCTCAAACTAATTAATTAACATGAAACTATACATGTGCTATGACCACATGCTCAACTATTGCCTTTTCATATTTTATCTATTTTTTGTGTCTCCATGGAAACAGTTTTGAATTTCTGAAGTCTTTCTACGAAGCATAAAGCTACTGATTGTTCATTATGGGTACCTCTACTTTCACAATACAGTAAACTACGGTTATACCGAACTCAAGGGGACTACTAATTTTAGTTCGTTATAACCGTAATTCGTTATAAGCATATATACAGCATAACTACAGCATATAGTCGGGACTAAAACGTTAGTTCGTTATATCCGTTAGTTCGTTATAAGCGTGTTCGTTATAACCGTAGTTTACTGTATAATCTATCATCCAAACTGCTGTCACAACGTCAATAGTCTTATCTACCACAAGGAGTCAGTATGACATACTGTAATGCTGCTTCATTAGTGCATTTATCAGAATCTGTTCTTTTATTTTTTGCTATTTTTGTTTTTCGGATTTGCGAACTCATTTATGGTAACATCTTGAACTAATGTATCGTTGAAAGGGGGGGGGGGGGGTTAGAGAGACATGTTTTTTATGAGTAAAAACATATTCTAGTTAAGGATAATGAATATTTATATGATTGGCATATAACCAACAACGCTCGTCATCCACAGATACCGTATGTCAAATGGTGCCGGATGATTGTCACTGCATCCAGTATCAATGTAGATCCGTGGTCAGGCATGTTTCTTCACATGTCGTACATCCTCCATCACCCATAGCTTGTCACATTATAGCCATTTTTCAGCTATATGACGGCGGTCTGTAAAAGAATTGAGTTTGGACCAGACAATCCAGTGATTGATATCATGAGCATCGAGCCACTCGATTGGGATACGATGAAATGCATCAACCAAGTCAGCGAGCCTGACCACCCAATCCCCTTACTCGCCTCTTACGACAAGAATAGTCGCCTTTTACGGCAAGCATCGGTTGCTGAAGACCAATTCTACCCCGGATCCCATGCATTGATTCCCTTCTAGCATCACATCTTTCATTATCATGTATCTAACGGTAATATCACCAGTCTCTCATTGAGTTCCATATAATACATCTTCTGGGGGGGGGGGGGAATAAAAACTCTAGACTGACATCTAGTCTCTGAAATGAACAAATGTTACAGAAAAAGTTTTTAAATTATCCTTAAAAATATAATAAAAGCGATGAGCCATGAGACTTTCTTCATTTTCAGGTTCTGTTAACCTTTCTTGGCGATAAAGACATTCCCAAAACGAACGAAACGTTTCCTTACACTATGGTCAGGTCACAAGAGACAGATGCACCTTTCACGCCACGTGTTGACATGACACGTGACCGTGACCCAGACGGAACTTGTGATATCTCGTCACATCGATGTCACACGGATAGATAAATCACGGAACTGCTATTTATTTCGTTGATAATTTCACGTCATAATTACGAACACGATTTGTCAATCTTTGAAAATGAGAACTTCAAATTATTTTGCGATTTCACGAAAAATCAATCGTCGATGATTGTATCAGTCATGGTTCTTCCCTTCCTGAAATATATCTCATCTAAATAAACGACACCATTTTCTGCTGTTTAAATATTAACATGTGCATTGTTCATCATTGTTTTGTTTTAAAGCACACAGGCCGCCGCCGTAGTCTAATGGTAGAGCGTTCACCATCAGGCGCAGACTAAGCAATGGTCAAAGCAGTGAAAACGTGTAACGCCTCCTTCTCCGAAGAAGGCAAAGTCTGTTACGTCAGCTGGCAAAGTCATGGCTTCAGATTTCGAAGTAATCCTACTGGTGAACTATCTCCTGAATGGTCGGACCATTAATGGTCAATATTATACTAAACTGCTTAGGTAACGGCGTCAGAATATCAAGGCTAAACGTCGCGGAAGATTCACTAAATGTCTTTTATTCCACTAGGAGTGAGTGAGTATGGTTTTTAGCAATGTTCCACCTATATCCGGGGGGTAGGGTGGGGGGGGGGGGGGGGGGGGCACCAGAAATGGGCTTCACACATTGTACCCATGTCGGGAATCGAACCCGGGCCTTCGGCGTGACGAGCGAACGCTTTAACCACTAGGCTACCCGATCGCCCCTATTCCACCAGGACAGTGCACCTGTGCACAAGCTTCTTGTCGCTGTGAATTGGGCTTTGAACTTATTGAATATCCTCCATATTCACCAGATTTGACATCGTCAGATTTCCGCTCTTCCCGAACTTGAAGAAGGAACAGTGGCAAATGATTATGACGTTGTCTCTGCTGTGGAGAACTTTTTCACACCACCAGGGGGACCCTTTTAAACCAGTGGGATGATCAAGGGCCCCCAGCGTTGTTGGCAGAAGTGTGTGGTGGGAAATGAGGAGAAATGGGGTTTAACGTCGCGTTCAAGATCATTGCACTTATTTAGCGTGTGTGTGTGTGTGTGTTTGTGTGTGTGTGTGTGTGTGTGTGTGTATGTGCTCGTCCGGACTAAAGCCGATTTTATCGTGCTAGCTCACTGAGACACCAAGCCACAGTTTAACATGAATACCCCACTCAGACACAGTATGCTAACTCCGAGCCGACCAGCTTGGTTTAGCCCCTTAATGCCGAGCGCCATGAAGGGTAACAACAAGTACACTACTGCCTAGAAGTTCATTCCCCTTACACGCATGGGCAACGCGTTACGCAACCAGTGTGCATCGGGTTGGTCACGCGTGTACAACCCGTGTGCAACGCGTTGCACACGGGTGTGCACCCCGTCCGCCACTCGTGTGCAACGCGTGACACACTCATTAGAGGGGGAACAAACTTTTGACCAAAGGAGGACCCGTCTTAAGCTGAACCTGGAGGTGGTAACAAGGAGAGAAAATTTTGTTATCCTGACGAAAAATGATAATACACATGTATTTGCTAATGTCTCCTTTCTTTATGTGATTTTGTGGGAATAACATGAATACTGTTGTGTTTAAATAGATCTGTCTTGTTTTATACCACCATTGCTTCTAAATCCGATGGTGTTAAGAGAATACATGGTCCTGGAACATGTTATTGCAATTGAAATGCTTTTATTGTGATTTGACATTAACCGTCTGTAGTACGACTTTCAGTGATAATATGTATGAGGTTTGGCGGCGCATTGTTTTTATTGGACCCTAATTACTTTATGATGACTTGGACTCTTTATCTCAGCTCCATAGCAGTGAGGCTGGGAAAGAGCAGCATGTAATTAATGAGGGTGGGTTATATCATTGAGGATACACTTGAGGGAGAGAATACTAATTACCGTACTACAGGAAGAGACCTGTAGACGTAAGCGCGGGGTTGTGTTTTAGCTGGCCGTTCGATAATGGCCGCCAGGAGAAGTGAGCTTTGACTGCGTCATCTAAAATAAATAGTAAGAAACAGCAGTGTTATTTTCACGGGTCTGTTGAATAAACTCCCAGCGCTACGGTCAATGTATCTTCTACTTGATCCTTGATACATCATTTTGGCATTCACAATATATAGTAATTCAACGTACAAAGGAGCACTGATCTAAAGCAATTCCGCGGGAGTAGTTGTTACCTGTGCATTACTGTATTTTCCCAGTCAGTACCCGGATGATATAGCAGAAATCTAGACTTGTTCGCGACCTGTGCTCGCCATTCGTAAGCGCATTTTAATTGAAAGTAGAAGGACGTATGGTCACATTGATCAACAAAAATGAAATACAGTTTTGGAAATGTAGGTATATTTGTGGGGAGCATCGGTAATGGTGATGCAGTTTTGGTAAGTCACTTGCTTGGTAATTGTGCGATCTTTGTGTACACTATTTTGACTTGCAACACAAAGTAAATATTTCATCTGAACATTGCTTATTTTACCGTGTGTATATTATTACATTCAAAATGTAAACATATTTCACTAAGGAAATTTATTAAACGCCTAAATATTCAGTTTATTTTACAAATTAACTGAAAAATATGTCCATCGTTATTAATATGATAACGAATTCCAAATATTTGTTTATGTTTAATATCATCACTAAGTACAGTTCTGTATTGTTGGGCTTCTTTTCTTAGCATAATTAATATATTGTGATGTGTTTAAGCTCTTTTGATCGTCTTTACCATTTTTAGCCTGTCGGTTAAATAAATGAATGGATTATTCAGTCAATTTGTAAAATGACTGAAATATTTAGATATTTAATAAATTGCCTGAGTGAATCATATTTTACACATTGACTGTAACATATACACGCTTACAAAAGAAAATACTTGTGAAAACAACGTCTATCGCGCATCGAAAAACTTCCCAAACAAACGGAAAGGAACAAGAATGATTCTGTTCAAAGCTGCAGCGAATGAATGAAAACAAAATGCAAATATAATTATTACAACCTACCAAAGTTATAATGTATCCGGGAATATCAACATAAAGGAACAATATCCATTGCGTCTGCAGCTGTACAAAAATACTTATTCAATGTCAAATGTCTATGTGAGAATCAAATACTTTAATAATAAATATTTGGAAACAATATTTGGAATATATATGAAATATATTAAAATATTTAAATATATAGTTTTAAACGTTATTTTAATCGAATATTATAACCCGTGTTTGTTTCTTAGCTGATCACTTAGTTTGTTTCAATTGTTTCACATAGCTGCCAAGTTAGCTGAGAAAGCCCACGTGACAACTATTTTTATAATGTCCTCGGTTCTTAAAAACATACATTGAGTTAG